AGGCCTACAGCAATTAAATGATAATATCTAGTGGGGGCTAATGAAGAAATCAACTCCCCACATTAAAGCAGAGGTAAATGTCACATGTCATTTCTTAGTAAAATAAAGTTAAAAGCTTTCATCAAGATGATAGATCTATCATCCCATCAGACTTTTTGAATTTGACTACCATTTTATCTTTCCCTTTGCCTCTCAGTGTCACTAGACTCTTACTCCCTTTTTGGCCACAAACATGTATTGGCACTACAAGGGTTTAGGTATGTTTATGGATAAAAGTGAGTCTGGAATAAGGAATAGGAGTGTGGAAACACCCATCCTCCGATTCCTGAGCAATCTTCTCTTTCCTTTCCACAATGCTTAGTAAATAACAGTGTCCCTTAAAGTTCTGGGTATGTGGTCTTATTTTTCCTTAACATGGCTAATATTCTTGATTTTCATTCTACCTCTCACAAGGTATTTCCCTACCTCAGAGGCTTCAGTGAATAAGGACAGCCTGAGGAGTTTAGGCCTGGAGCACTTAAGCTTTCCCAGTATCCTACAGGGTGATTGGTTTGGGTTTGGAACAAGGGCTAGAAGAACATAAAGGAGAAATGGCAAACAACCCAAGGAAACAAAGCAGTTGATCTGTCAAATTGTATATTCTGCCTCACTGTAGTATGCTGTTTTTAAGCCTTTGGGTATAAACCAAGGAGTGGGATAGCTGGTGGTTCCATTCCAAGTTTTCTAAGGAATCTCCATACTGCTTTCCAGATTGGTTGCACCAATTTGAAGTGACACAGCCACATCAATGTTTATAGCAGCACAATTCACCATAGCTAAATTGTGGAACCAACCTAGATGCCCTTGAAGAGATGAATGGATAAAGAAACTGTGATATATATATATATATATATACACACACACACACATAAAAACAATGGACTATTACTCAGCATTAAAAAAATAAAATCAAAGCATTTGCAAGTAAATGGATGGAGTTGGAGAATATCATACTAAGTGAAGTAAGTCAATCTCAAAAAACCAAAGGCCGATTGTTTTCTATACTAAGTGGATGCTGATCCATAATGGGGTGAGGCATGCAAGAAATGGAGGAACTTTGGATAGAGCAAAGAAGAAAGAGGGGAAGGGGGGTAGGAAAGATTGTGGAATGAGATGGACATCATAACCCTAGGTACATGTGTGAAGACATGAATGGTGTGACTCTACTTTGTGTACATCCAGAAAAATGAAAAATTGTGCTCCATTTGTATTCTGTGAATCAAAAAGCATTCTGCTGTCATGTATAACAAATAAATCAAGTAATTAATTTAAAAAAAAACATTGTATATTCTTTTTCCCAAACCTTGTATCCTCACAGGACTTGAAATACAGTCACAGGGTGTCAGACAGGTCCCAAAGGAGGATGCTGGGGATAGAGCTTCTAAGCTGGACTAGTTCTACACTACTTCCAAGTTAACTTTGGAAAGATCATATCGTGTTTCATAAAAGCTTTTATTACTAGTCCTTATGAATTTGTAATTACTGAGCCAGCCCTAAACCTGGAACTTTACCTCAGAGATACAAGATGGAGCTACTGCAAACTAGACTTCCTTGGGGCATGGTATACCAAAAGAGATTGAATTAGCATAGAGTAAATATCCAGCCAGCAGAGTAGTAATTTTCTCCTTACTTGTGGAATGAGTTCCTCAGCATTAGTTTCTCTGTGTTGATTCTTTGTAGAAATAACTCATAAGCAGCTGAATCATTTTGGAGCAAATTTTCCATCACCTTCCTTCTCTGTATGGTTCAGGCCTTTGTAAACCCAGAGTAACATAAATCTGCTGGTTCCCTGCTGGTAAGGATGACTATGGCGTTTTTTATTCGTTTTATTCCAGTTTGTTTTAATCAAATAATGAGAACACCCTAGGGGAAAATCTCATTATCATATTCAAAATACATTAAGAGCTTTCTGGTCATACTTAGCAGACTTATATTTATCCAATATTTCTCAAATTTGATTCTGTTATGTTTCCCAAAGCATGAAGAAATTCTCAAACAGCATCATTTCAAACGCAGCACAGGACAATAGAAAATGCTGTCACCTAATCCTGGAGGGCCTGTGGTATTTTCTGTGATGGCTGAATCAATCTGAATCCCTCCTTTTTTTTTTTATCTGTAGTTTTCAAAGATGTCAATGTGGAGCATCAGCAGTTGAAAACTCAGAATACCAAGCCTGTCCTCCCCTGTGACTGTCACAAATCTTTTGCCTGCAGGATGAGCCTCCATCACTGACGTAGTTACTGTTTTTTTTGTTTTTTTTTTTTTCCCTTAAATCTGGAAAATCCCCCGCCTCCTCCATTCTTTCACAAAATTTTCTGCCTGAATCATTTCTAGTCTAAGGGTCATACACACATTTTGCTTTTCCAAAAGCAGGATTTTCTTTTTGTTTTCCTTCTTGCTCTTTCTCCAAATTTCTGCATGCTGCCTTTAGGTCACATTTTGGGAAAAATTCTAACAATAAAGGATTTTTCAGAGCCTTTGTATTTTCACCACTATCCCTACCCTATTCCAGCTTACTTTATAATGAAAGTAAAACCCATGGGGTGGGGGCAGGATTTACAGGCAATCTGGTATCTAAAGACCAGGCAGATTCTTTTTCTTTATTATGTAAGAATCTTGAATGTTTAATGAATATTTAAGTAAGTAAATTTCAGCAACATTCCTTATTTTAGAGATCATGCTTTAATGAAAATGCAAACACTACTTATTAATTATTATTGCAAACATTAATATTTCAAAATGCCCCTTGGGGTCAAGGAACCTTTAAGAAACAATGACTTATACTGATTTCAATTAAAAGCATCCTTTATTAAATTCTTACATCTCTACTCCTTCTAAATGCAGTCTCTTCACAACTCTTCTTCCCTCTCTCAGCTCCCGCCCCGCCCTCTCCCCACAATCGCGGGCAATTAAAAGCTTTATAATGCTTAAGCTGTCTCTTAGGCCAGCGCTTTCGAGCCCACTTCCCCCCCCCATCCCCCTACCCTACCCCCGCTTTCCACCACTCTCGCTCCCCCTCTCCCATCGCTACCCCACCCTACTCTCAGTAGGGTGTCTTGTAGGTTGTTTTTCTGAACCCAGCTCTAAATTGTTTCTTCTACACTAGACAAGGATTTTCCATCGCCCAAAAGAGGCCATCAAGTTTTAAGATTGCGAGGCACGACTTCTAATCGCATCCTCCGCGGAAAAGTACAAACAGTTCCTCAGACTAGGTCCCCCACCTCCCACGCTCTTCCCAGCTCGCCCTCCCCGCGGAGAGCCCCGCGACAGCCTCCCCAACACCTGTGAATCATCCGAGAGAGGCTGCCACCGCGGAACTATTTGCATACCACCACCGCCACAGTTACCCCCCTCCCTGGGCACCTAATGCACACCAAGGGAAGACAGGGTGGTTTTATGATTATTATTTCTAATCTCTCACGACCATCGCAAGTCGCCTTTTTCGCTCATGCGGGGTCTGAGCATCAGAGGGTCCCCAGGACTTCCTCACTGATACCCAGGGTTTGCGAACTGAATGAACCACCAAAATTTCGTCGCATTCTGGTCTTTCTTGAACTCAAGGCCCTCCACCTTTTCCACGGGTGTCTGGTCCTATAAGGAGTGTACGTGACTCTGTGGACACTTCCTAAGAAATCCAACACAAACCCCCAGGCTCCCACTGCAAATCCGGTGGAAAACAGCGTCATCTCTTTTGCCCTCGGCAAACTACTCTCAACTCTGTGCCCTGAGTCCTAGCAAACCCACGCTAGCTGAGTTAACTACCCTTCCCTCCCCCTCTTCCCAACTCATCGGATGAATCTCAGTGATAACTGCTCTGACGTACTTTAAAATAAAGTATGCGAGTCTCTCTCCCGGACTGACCATATTACTGCAAACTCCAAGCCCCTCGATGCTGCTTTCATAAAATAAAGAAACCACTCATAAAAGTAGCAACCTACGTAGCCTGGCCATATATGGAACTAGTGAAGGATGACAGGAATACCCCTTCGGATTCTTTTCTTTGGAGAAAACAGTTCTTAGAATCTGTCCCCACCCCTCCCACCTTTTGCTCCTCCTAGGCTTTCCTTTCCTCTGTGACTCAACTCAGCTGGGGATGTAGATATATATATATATATACACACACACACATACATACACACACACACATATACACATATTATACATATACATGTATTCACACTCACATACATATGCATATATAAACATGCACATGTACACATATATACACACAAACATATATATGCACATACATAAACAAAATAAAGGCCATCAGGAAAACTGTTGCAAGATAAATGTGTTGCCAGAGACCGAGTGTTAAAATGGAGTCATAAGAATCGCCTCACTCGGGTGTTTATAAAGGACTAAAATACAGAGGTTTGCAGTAAAGCTCACAGGGAGCTGAGTCAAGCGCTCAGTACCTCCTGGCTCCTCCCCTCCCACCCCCAGACCAAGTCCTCCCTCCGCCCTCCCCCCAGCACACTTCCTCCCCGCCCCTCCAGGCGACGGCTATTAAAAGCTGCTGACGTCAAAAGGGACGGCCATCTTTGATGAGGGCAGAGCTCACGTTGCATTGAAGACGAAACCTCGGGGAGGTCAGGCGCTGTCTCTCCTTCCCTCTCTGCACGGTGGCTCCTCCACACTTGCAACCTGCAGGGACTCGGCCAACACCACCCTCTGAAGAAGCAAAGGTAAGGAGCCCCCTCCCCGATCGTGGTTCTGGTTCTGGATGGCTGCATACCCAGAAGGGACCACAACTGGGCAGACCAAGTGAGCTTGGGCAAATAACAAGTATTTGTGCACTTAGGGTGCGGTATTCCGTGTGTGCACGTCTGACTAGACTCTCGCCTGGGGCTTTATAAAAGTATTTTCGAGGTGAGCTGTTTGGGGAAGAGATGAATGGGGACACTGCGGATGGAGCGATGGGAAGGAAGAGCAAGGATACGTGCGGAATGATAACTTACTCTTTTGAAACAGTAGTGGGACCCCCCTCTCTCTTCCATCTTGCGATGCAGTTTTCAGAGATGTTTAGGTTGTTAGGTTTATTGTTGTTGTTGTTTTCTGTAGACCCCCAAACAAGACAAAACAAAAAAAGCCATCCTGTCGTTCTACTGCTATTATTATGACTGTTGTCGTTAGGGCGCTATTATCCAAGGGAGAATTAAGGAGCCGGCAGGGTGTGGGCGCTGAGGAGCCGAAAGCAGAAGGGGGGAGTTCCCGCCCCGGGCAAGCTGAGCTGCGGCAGCGACAGCAGCCTCCATGCCCCACGGACTTGATTTATGCCGCCTGCTCCACGTCAACTGCAGGCTGGCGGGAGGCGGGCAGGTCGTGCTGGGTGGGAGGGCTCTGCGGAGGGCTGGCGCGGGTGGGCTCCCCTGGAGGACTGCGGAGGCATGCACTCAGCACCCTGGACAGCACAGCAATACCCACCAGGGCTCGCGCTGGCGTTTGCGACCTTTCAGAACCGCGGACAGCGGTCCGGCTGCCGCACCGCATCTACCTGCCGCAGAGATGCTTGGCCAGCGTTAGACGTGCCAGGGCTGGAGGCCAAATTGTCTTTCTGAGACCCCAGTCTTACAGAGACTCTTAATAGAGCAGGCATACTAGGTTAAAATAATAAGTGAATAAATTCTGTCCACAGGGACTTTTTTACAGACAATTGCCTGCTGTCCTCACCTCCTGCATGACTTAAAAAAATAATAGTCTACTTGTAGAAATCTTCTGTGTTGCTCTCCACTGCTTCTTTCAAGTGGGAAATAAAACACCTTTAAAAATGCATTTAACCTACAGTATGATGTCAAGGTTTTTGTTTTATAATACAAGGCAGATCTGTCTATAGATCTTGGGTGGGAAAGAGATGTGTATGTATATATGAAGACGCCAACACTCTCTGTTTATAGGAGTGATATATCTCTGTACATACTTCCATTTGATTAAAATGAAGGATTAGCTGAACTAAGCAGAATCAACTTTAATAATGAATCCTTCTTCCTCTTCCTTTGCCCTTTACTCTTATACTTAGGCAGGAACACAAGCACTCAGCCTCAAAAATACATCTCTGAGAAATAATGTATATATTTAACTTCTTTGATGATGGTTTCAGAGCTAGTGGAAGTATTTCTTATCAACATTGCTTATAGCTATCTGATAGCTTTTGATTTTGACAACATTAAAACTAGTCGTCCTTAGGAGAATTCAGCTGTGTCTTTCAGGGCAATGCAGGTGAAAAAAAAAATGGTATTAGGCTGACACTGGATTCTGACCTAAAGAACTACTGCAATTTCTATTATAGCACTGCGGGATTTTGCTGAGGCGGTGATAAGTACTTTAACCACTTTTCACTCTGAGTCTACAAGCCTCTGAGTGAGCAAAAATCATCATAGGTATATAAATGTCATTTTGATAGAGACTCAAAAATTGTTACTAAATGACCAGGATCAAAATTGTACTATTTGAGTAGTTAGTAAAGAAAAGTAATGGCATCATATTTAAGAATATATACAACATATTAAAGGAATGCTATCATGATTCCCTAAAAAAACACCCAAAATAAGATCTTGCATCGTTTAGTTGTAACTCCAAACATCTATATCCTAAAGATACTAAAATTCTCTGTCCACATACAGAAGGTGATTTCATTTTCAGCTGTTTATTTATTTCCTAGTGTTTTTCCTGTTTTATGGATAGCCATGTGTTTCCCTATATGTATATGTTTATCTATTATTGCTCATGTATGTAAAATTATTTGGGTGGAAATTATTCAAGAACATGTAACTGCATAGAAGAAGTTTGTAACTCTGAAATCTTCAGACAAAATAAACAACCATGTTTTGGTGGTGGAAGAAGGGGAGGAAATATGAGCAGGAGTCGATAAAAATGCTTTAACTTCATGCTGCATGTCCAAACAGCTCTCTGCGTTGATGCGTCAAATGAAAAGCCTAATGCTGCCAGAATTATGTGCTTGGACATTAGTAATTACTGCTGGGTTTGTTTGCTGGTGGAAGACTAGAGGGGGAGGGAGGTAGAGGACTGCAGTGAAGCTGGCAAAGGGCACAGAGCTGGAAGGAAGAGGCAATGTGCACAAATATAGAACTAATTCTAGAATAGCTTACTGAGAAATTAAAGACAAACATAATCAGAGCATGAATTTAACATTTATGTCATCCACAAGCTTCAGGGGAAATAAATCAGGAGATTTTCCATTTTTAAGTTTGAGTCTTAAAAATCCAGGGCAATGCGGTAAAAGAGGCAGGAGCAGACAGACAGAAGGATGAGCCAGGATACATTCCTGCAAACCCTCTGATGGGACCTGCTTATTTATTCATTGGTATTTCCTGTATTACCATATTGGTATTCATATTACAAAACAATTTACAATCTTTGTAATCCCCCAAGAATTCAGAATTTTATTTTTACTTTGGTAAACATGCACAAATACAATATAAACCACCCTTTAGTTACCGTGTCAAAAGATATCCCTAATCTGTAAATATTAACCCCAAGGCAAGGATTACCAACTGAAAGAGTGCTGTTTCTTCCAGTGATACCTAAGAGCTGCGTAGCAACTAGCCTTAAGCACATATAGATCTTGACTATTAGTGGAAATGACAAAAAATCATTTTAAAGGTTGAGAGAGGAAACATGGAGAAAAAATAAATAATTCTGCCTTTTAGATGATGCTCTATGAACAAACAATATTTCTTACACTATAGGGCCACTTTACAATTCTAGAAAGCTGGGAAATTTTATGTTTTCAACCTCAGCGCTGGGAACATTTCTGCAGTGTCATCCCTTGTCATCAGGGACCAACCTGATAGGAAGATATTGATCAATCAGTAAACACCAGCTACATAAGTGAATCACACAAAGGATATAAAATGTCATGGTCATCTGGTCTTTGACCTCAATTAAATTTAGGATATAGAAATCTTTCTAGAAACTACAATAAACCTGAATAAATAATATCAGAGTGAAAAAATAAAGCAATAGAAGAAAAATTCTGAGGGAACATGTAATTAATTTTGAAGTGAATGTGACCAATAATAAGGAGTGTGATTTCTGAAGAGGGTAATATCAAAGTGGACTTGAATGCTTTGAGTGAAGAGGTAGGACTTAAGCTATCCTTTGAAGGTTGGTGAGAGATTGGAAAGGTCTGCTAAGTAAAAGTTACAGTAAGTATAAGCAGAATTTTAAGTTAGGCAAGCCCAAGCCATCTGTGGTCAGCAAACCCTGAGAATTATAACACATGGGAAGCTCTTTAGAATGGAGAGTTGGAGCTGTTTATAGTGGGCTTTGAATGCCAACCTGAGGTTTTGATGCTTTATCCTCCAAAGTTGATTTCTGAGCAGAAACTGATGTAACAAAGTAAACAGGTCCTTTTTAGTATCTGGGAATTGCTTTTGATAGATTTTATTTAATCTGTGCTCTTCCAGAAATAGGGGAGAATCAAATAATATCATAGAGAGTTAGTCAATCTTTTTAAAATCAGTTTTCATTTAAGCATCATTTATGATCACACTTCAGGAAACACTTGCATGAACATATATTAGCCCTGTCCGGAAACTAATTGTTAAGTTTCAGTTTTCCATTATTGATTAGAACAAATTTTCTGAAATGAGCACCTACCAGGGAGATTAAAAAGCAGTTCAGGAATCTGATGATGAGAGGCCCTGGAAGGTACGCTTGAATAATAAACATGATGCAGAATTCTGTTTCACCCTCTGAGCATTTTGCATTGTCAAGTACACTGACTGGATAGGTGAAAAAACATGTCAGTTCTTCTGGGCGTGTTTCAGGCTGCATTAGAAGTAGAACCAGCCCCAACTAACTAAAAATGGTGGTGGGGGAGGGGAATTCTATGGCAACATTTTTAAAGCTGGGGTGAGATTGGGTGGGCAACATATCAAATTTCTTTCCCTACTGACCTTGCCAACTATTGCTAGTTACCCTCCCTCTAGGGCTACCCTCCCTCTAGGGCTAGTTTGAAATGAGAACTTGTATTTCCTTTTTAATTTATGGTTACTACTATCAAGCAAAGCTTCAAATTTCCAAATGCTGATAAAACTGCTAAACCAAAATAGCCAGTGGCTTCATGTGGAGGAAGAAATGACAGTTGTAGACATATATTTTTGTTGCTATTTCATTCTGACTGCATAGTATCAAGAGACTATCTTCTTCACCAAAACATTGGCAAGAAAGACATGGTAAGAATATATTTGGATTTCCAAACTGGGAATCTAGAGGAACTTTGGTGGTAATGACATTTCATGTATTAGGAGGAGGTCAAGCTGGTGGTTATTAAACAGAGTCCAGAAGGCCTTTCTTAGGTAAGAGGAAAGGAAGAGATAGCATCAAGGAAATAGGAAAGGAGGAGATAGCATCAAAGAAGCAGGACGTCGTAAATGGAGAACTATTTTAATGTGAATTGGTCTTACAAAAGGAAGAGACATTGTCAGAGAAGCCTGATAGCACATGAAACTTCATATTTGCTATTGTTGCAATAACAGTAATGTCTGCTTTTTCTACATAATTTTCTTTCCAGAAATCTCTAACACTTTGCCCAACATAAAAGTTCAAGCAGTTTCTGATTTCTAAATGAATGGTACAAATTTCAGTCATATGTGTTCAGATATAACATTAGATAACATTGAATAAGCCTTAAATCTGATTTAGAAGGACGATACCCAAAGCAGTGATTAATTAGAACAGGCCTGTGGGGCAAAAGAGAGAGTCACTCATTCCAAAAGCTTTTACTTATAATAGTTCGCTGAATGCTTATGGGCAGGGCACTATTATTACTTCTGTTTTACAGATGAGGTAACTGAGGTCAAGATAAGACAAGCTAAGTAACATTTTACAGAGTAGAGGCAGGACTTAACTGTAATCCATTTGATTCCAGAGACTAAGCTATTAACTGTGTACAATACTACTTTTACATCATCCACATTTTTCCTATAGGTCAAATAGGAAAAATAAGCAGAGAGAGTGTACTTGATTTTTAACAATAATTTTCCTCCTCCTTTGGACAGCAAGGCATGATGGTAAGGCTGCTGGTTGGAAGCCAGGAGGCCCAGTGCTATCCCTGAAGCAAAATGCTTGTAATTTCCTGTTTTGGAATCCCAGTCTTTAAATAAGTCACTCAAGCACTGTTGAACTCAGTTCCTTCATCTGCAGGCTGACAGAAATGGACTAATGTTGGTCAATATCCCCACCATTCAGAAGCTGATGAAATCGGTGCTGAAAACCTCCTGGCAATGTGTCTGGAACTAGTAGCCCATTGTCTCAGCTGGCATTGCCTTAATAATACTTCAGTTACCAAACCCACCCTCCCCCATCGTAAGATTAAAGCATCCCTCACCTCCCTCATCCTCTTTTTTTTTTTTTTTTTTTGACAAATTTGCTTTGACATCATTCTGAAGCTCTTCCGGACAGACAAGAAATACTGACTGTTCCTCAAAGCCCTATTCTGAGTCATCACTGCTTTGGGTATCTCCTGTCCTTCTTAATCAGATTTGCAGTTGCCTGGCACATACTA